GCTGATGCTGATGATGATGACGATGATGGTGACGTGGCGATCAAAGTCCAGTCATCAGGGTAATGATGGCCAGAGGGATATTCATCGTGAGGACGAAAGAGAACAATGCGAGGAGAAGAGAGGACCTGCCGCTGTCGATATGCAAGATGATGCTTCATGCTCTTGTTCTAGGACATTTTCAGGTTGGTAGTTACCGTTATAGGAGCTTTATAGAAGGTCTATATACCTTATGGAAGTCTTGTAGAGGCCCTATATACCCTAAACTCCCCACCTGCAGTTTCCTTCAACTTGTCTTGCTTGTCATACCATGCCAGAATGTAGTAGGTGGTCTTGTTTTGTTGGAAGGCTTGGCCTCAAGCTTAGTTTACAATCCAACCTTGACAATGCACATACTTCCCTCCCCGCCACCAGACCCTGCTTGCTTTTCTGAAGTAGGCATCTTCATAAACACACGTCTGTGCATGTGTATGTACGTATGTACGCATAGTAGCTTCGTGAATCCAGCTGTGGCGGTCATGTGAGATACTGCTCGCTCTCAAACATGTGGGCTTTGCTGAAGCTGAGAAGAGCAGTGGGTGCTTAACAGCCAGTGGGCACAGGGGATAGGAGTACAGCTTTGTAGGACTTTCAGGGAGCAGGGGACCCCAACGTAAACCGAGCAGGATCCTCAAAAGCTCTATGCCTCCTTCTCAAAGCCCGTGCAGCAGCCCTGAGCACAGATTCGAACAGGAACGGTGCTGGTGGCACCTTTGTTTTTTGCCCTCGTTTTTTGTTGTTGCTTTGAGGCTGTCTAGCCATGCACGTGCAGGCCGGAAATTCGCACGCAAGCGTGCCAGGTTGTATCTATGTCTGTGCGTCGGCGGAATGCTGACGCCAGGGTCTCCCAACGCTCTCAAGGAGCTGTCTATCTCAGCCCTGAGGGCTCAGGCACCAGCAGTATATACCGAAGCCCTCACCCGCCTGAACTGATTATCTCAGAGGGCGAAGTTCGTTTTCAGACACGGTGCAGCGAAGAGAACAGGGGCATTTGCTACAAAGGATCCGTTATCGAATGCACCCTCGCAGTTTAAAGCTCTTTTAGACATGTCCTGTAAGTCATTGCATGCATACATATATACATAGAGTAGGTTTAGAAAATTGCACCTTGGTGCTTGATCCCTGGGGGTAGCAGGGTGAAGCCCAACTGAATTCGAGATGCTCATCCGCAGCGTATTCGTTTTTTGCATATTCGCTTGCAACGACCTTTCTGACAGCGGCCGCCTGTCTATCACAGGCCATCGTGTATCAGCATATATATATATATATATGATTATGTGTATATATATATATATATATAAAGTCAAAGGACAATCCATGGTGCTTGCATTGCCCAGTCGACGGCGCACGTGCTGTGCAGGTACGCTTGCGCCTCCCGTGATAAAGAAGCGGTCGCGGCTGTTGGATGCTCGGCGGAGACGTACGTTTCCGATGCAGGACTCTAAGAGCACAGGCCTGGATGTGTCACCAAGCACGCACATGGTCCAGGTCACACGCTCAAGCCTAAACCCCTAAAGCCCTAAGCCCTTTCACCTCTAAACCTTTAACCCCTACCCCGAACCGCGAAACCACAAACCCTAATGCCCTTATATTAAATCCTAAACACTGAACCTTTAAACCCTAAACCCCAGGGTCAACAGCCACGGCAGGGTGCAAAGGCTGACTTGGTGACACAACCGGCGCCTTGCACGCCATAACGGTCGCAGACCGCAACGAATAGTTCCAAGGCCTAAAACTTCGCGGCTGGAGCCATAGTTAAACTTGCTGCAATGTTGGACAGATCCATGGATCCCTTCGCACTGCCTGTCCCCTAAACCCTAAACCCTA